CAATAGCAACACCAATATTTCCACTGCCAGTAGCCCTTCATCTAAGAACAATCACAACAATAATCACCACCACAGCGCTGGACATAAAAGGAGTCATAAAGGGATTGTGACCAATAGTCAAGGTACTGACCAAGACGTAACATTACACATTCTTATAATTTCCATGAAGAAAAAAAATAATTTTAAACATCAACGTTTAATAATTTTAGGACACAACAAAGCCTTACCAACAGTTGGTTTTTTATGGTTCACCTTATACTAGATGTATAGGCATGCTTTACTTTGACAATAGATTAGAACCAAAGCTAACATTCTTTCAAACATTCGGTTTTGACTTCATTGTCATGCCTTTCTGATGGCACTGGAAGAGTTTTTTTTTTTTTTTGAATGTAAGAGTAGCTAAGGTCACATTAGGAGCTCATGGGACAAGTTAATGATTTTATTATCTGTATTCCTTACAAAAGGATAATATTTTGAAGTACAGTATCTTCTATTGGCACAGTAACTTAAAGTAATCATTAGGGAAAAGTTTTGAAATGAGACAAGGTGTCAAAAGTTAGTTTAATTTCAAAATTATTGAAATAACAATTTTGAAATTTATTATCTGGATCTTTAAATGTTATGTCTATTTGTTAGTTCTTTTATGCTAAGAAATGTGCAGAAAATCAGTTCTGCTATAATCACTAGAATTGTATTATGTGGCTTTTATATTTGATTTTTTTCTGCTTCTCCAGGCTCTGTAGTTTATACAGAAGAGTCTACTCAGCAGTCTATTGGATCATTTGGTTCGGAGAATCTTAATGATGACTCGAACATGTCGTTTCCAGAGAACAGCGAGCACAGTGAACATAATGACAACAATGAGTACTCCCATGACAGTAATTATGCTGACCCACAGATGAGAGTAGGTCAGTGTGCTGCTTTCCCCAGGATATCCATTAAATCTACGTTTAGAGGTCTTTTTTTTTTTCCCTGTTGTATAGCCTGTTTGGCTAAAAAATCTGGGTCCAGCCTAGTTTACTAAAGTCAGATCAATTGAGCTGCCATTTTAAAATAAAATTGTATACATCCTCCTAGGCTTCCACTTTACATGTGCAGTAAGCATGATTTGAAATAGTCAATCGCTGTAACAATGGTATGCGAAATATGCTATTGGTGTATCTTGAGCTATTTCACATTCATTTATGCTCAGCTTCAAATACAACTTAATTTTCTGCCTCAAAATGCTTTTTTTAAAATAGATGCACAAACCAGGGCATCTTTGTTAGCAGCACGTGAAGGTGGGAGTGTCTAGAAACTGCCATCATTCATATTTTTATTAAGAATACTAGAATAAGGTGGATTTCAATTAGATACTAGATCTAAGCCCTTGGAAAGATCTGATTAAGATATACAATGATAAATTTCAATCTTAAAGTCTTTACAGACCTAGTCTATTCTTATGTGCCATGTTAAAATTATTATGGCTGCTTGGCTCAGTACTGTCTCAGGTTCAAACCCTGCTTGCTGTCCACCCCTGTTGTCCTGTGGGAGGTTTAGGCTAGAATGTAATTATGTTCAGAATATGAGGAACATCCAAAACATGTAAAACAAACAAGGTTTCCAAAACAAACAAACAATTAGCCTTCCCTTAGTGTCCATTTGTGGAAAGTTATTTTGATAATATTTATTTTTAAGAGTTAGAATGTTAATAAAGTTGTCTGCTTAACTCGAGTAATGAAGGCATTACCATAAAAGCCAACTTAATTGGCTAATGTCATTGTTAACATACAACCTAGTTATAAAGCCACATGCGTCATGTATATCCCTGCTATAGTGAATGAAATCTTCATCTCTTAATCAGAGGCATTAATTATACATTTAAATATTTACTAAATGGAGGCATCTACTCTATTATATTTGATGCCATTTTGCAAGTGTATATTTTATACATTTTGGTCTGAGTTTTTTTTTAAATTTAATATATAATTATCTTTGATTGGTTCAGTGAAAAATGTATAATAATAGTAGTATATATTATTTATTATTATTATAGCTTTTATATAGCGCTACTTTCATGCTTATAGCATTCTCAGAGCGCTTTGGTCCAATCTCATTAGTGGACGGGGGGGGGGGGGGGGGGGGGGGGGGGGGTATTTGGGAGTTGGTTTTCCGTGCTGCCTTTAGGCGCTCAGTAAACGCAACTCTGCCCGAGTCGGGTGTCGAACCTCGAGCCCCCTTCTAGGTAGCTAAGTTCAAGCGCACTTAGCCTCTCAACCACGCTTCCTAATATATATAAAATTAAACTATGTAATTCTTTACCTCCCAACTATAAACATAATCTGTAGCCTGAACTTAATTAATTTTAGTATTTGTAAGGTTTGCATATTTTTGGTTTCATGGTTGCTAAAGATTAGATCGTTTTAATATGTACCAGTGGCACACCCCTTCTTATGTGTTTCATAAAAAAAAAACATTTGGTGAGATAGTTTCATTTATAAATGTTGAATGAAATGTTGTTAGTTTTTGTTTGTTTTATTTTCCTTTCTTTTTTTTCCCCTCCCAGCTTTAAGCATGGTTAGAGATGAAGAGGATGGAGGCAAAACAAAAAATAAGGCAGAAGAAACAAATGGTATAGTATTCATGTTTACTGTTGAATCTGTTGTAAAACGTCTGGAGTTGTCACTCTTTGTCATTGCTGAGATTAGATAATTGATAGGTATTGTTTGAATGTGGTGTTTTATGAGTCATTCTGTAGCATTGTGTTGGAAAAGTCATTTCTTAAAGGGAGTTCAATATTTTTTTTTTTATATTTTATAGACAGAGTTGTTCTTATTGCTATGTTTTATGTCAACAGATTCTACCAGTCCACCTGAATTGGAAAGAGAATCCTCATCTGATGAGCCAAGTACAAAGAAAGCCAAAACTGGATCTTAATATTGGAAAGTTAATTACCATTCCCATTTGTTTATAAAAAGGTTATTTTACTATTTGTTAAACATTAATAAAAATACATTTTGCATTTGTAATTAATTTTTTGAGTTTTCAGTACAGTTGTTTCCATAATAATTGTTTATTTCAGTGGCAGGTTGTGTTATTAGAATGAAAGATTTTTTTTGTTTTTACAATTCACTTTATCACTAATTTAATGAATAAGTTCTGAAGATCTCCAAGGCTGACCAGAGCTCAACCTGTTTCTGGGTTGTGTAGTTATACAGCTAAATAGAAAATGTAGGTAAATAATAAATACTCTACATCAAATACTGGTATATGATGATTGTCAGATCTTTGTAAAATTGGTTTGCAAATGGGGTTTAAATATATAAGCCCCTTGTTGGTGGGTGTAACTCTTTTGAATTGGAAATTTGTACCTTGTATTTTGAGTCTGCAAGTTTGGGGACTTAAGATGAAAATTACATTGAAAACTTTAAATGCAGCAATTTATGAAGAAAAAAAAACAATTGGACATATTTTTTTTATATGCAAAGTTTTCTTGACATTGGTCTTACATAGTGTAATGTATTCACAAACTTAATGAATTTTTCCATTGCTTCTACCAGCTTTTAACTTATTTAATTGTAATATCTTAAAGAACACCACAAAATTTCAAACTATATACACTTACATATATTTGATGCTTTTTTTTTTAATTAAAACTTTTTCATATCTACATGTAAACTTTTATACATTTCTTTCTCGAATTCAAATTTCCATATTTACAGTAGAAGTAAATGTGATTACAAAATCTTCAGTTAATTAGATTGCATCTATTAACTTGCTTGGGCTTTTGCCTTGTTAATTATTATTTTTTTGCAACTACAAATTAAACTTGATATGTACTTTGAAACGGTCATATCATCTAAATATTTACTAGGCCGTCATGAAGTTTCATGCTACTATTTAAATCCATAATTGACGCTAGTGGTTCATCATAATTGCATGCCTTAGTGGTATACATGTGATGTACATTTTGATTGGCATTTTTTTTGTTTAAATTTACGGTGTCTTATCTATCAAGTCTGTTTCTGTATTCCTGGTGCCTGGCTTTATATAAAAAGATGTATTTGAACTATCAGAATTTACTATCACCTTTGATATGGAACTAATCCTGGGCAATGATTCCATCCCGTATATTGCATCCTCTCATTGTGGGAGGACATAGATAATGTACCAGTAGCACTAAACATTTCCCTGAGATAAGATGTATATAAAAAATAAGTATTACAGTCATTGTATCAGGTGAGATGTTAACAGGACTGGCATTGATGTTACAGTACCCCTTTCAGAATTTGGACATTCTTTAAATCTTTTTTTTTTCCCCATCATTAGTGGATGATTGTAAATAAATGTTATTTTTGGTTTTAAGTTTGTAAATAGAAATAAGACTGTGTGTTACCGTGATGTGGAAAAGTTGAACAAGTCAACTCCGTGAGTTGAACTGGAATCTGTGTGTGTGTGTGTGTATGTGATGTGCACCTGAAGTAGCTCAGGTACTACCTTGGAGCCAAATGATTGTAATCAAGAATATTTGTAGCCATTCCAAATTTATGTAGACATTTTTTGTCAATCATGGTACTTATCTATTGCTAGACATTTAAAAAAAAAATGATTCACATCTGACTTATGGCAATAGTAATTAGAAAATGCAAGTAAACTTTCAAGTATTATTTTTTTATTGTTACTTCATTTGACTGTATAGAGAAAAAGGTTGGGTATCCCTACTGTCTACAATAAATTGGCTAAAGTCTTGTGTGGATTATGTTGACCTTGTCATCTGCACTGTGCACACTAAAATGTTGAGTGTGACATTAAATACAAACTGTGGAATTGAAGTCTTGACTTGTTCATGCCTATGTTAAAATTCTCAACAAATCCTACCCCCCCCCCCCCTTTTTTTTTTGGTTTTGTTTTGCTACTACTAAGTCGTAGATAATGTTACACTTGAGAGTGACATAATTCATCAGTAAAATAAAAGAAATCATTTAATAACAAGACTTTTTTTTTTTTTAAACAAATAATTTATTACCAGAAAAAAAAAATCCATTTGAGAATTGAAATGACCTGATAGGGTTTGGGATTAAATTATAGTAGGAACACACAACATTCCTGTGCCAGCTTCAGAGTACAATAATAAGCAGATTGAAAACTAGATGTCTTGAATTATAGGCAACCCTTACTTTCTTATATATGGTGATGTATGTAAGCAGTATTTCATACCGCTAAATTACATAAAGGTGTGTACAAATATATTTCACACAATGATTACCTCCATGAACCTTTTTTTTTATGTCTAAGTGTGACTTGGTAAACAAACACAAGTTTATAATCATTCATCATTAAAGTACCGCAATTAAGTTAAAATCTATTTATGTAATAAAGTTGTGTACAAATATATTTCACACAATGATCAACTCCATGTACCATTTTTTTTTTATATGCTTCAGTCTAAAAAATGTGACTTGGTAAACAAACACAAGTTTATAATCATTCATCATTAAAGTACTGCAATTAAGTTAAAATCTATTTACAATAACAGATGTAGTGCTAACTTCCTAAAAATTGATGAGGACTGGAGTCGTCTGATTTACTTTCTAAAGAAAAAGGGGGGATTTTACAGTCAAAACTGGTGCCATCTCGTCTCTCCATTTTGTAGGTGCCCCTACAATGAAAGAAAAAAAATACCATCAAGATAGTAACAATCAAGTCAGCAGTAGAAACTTATCAAATACTGTATTGACATTGAGATTAATATATTAACCTCTCACAAGCTATGACATCAAATATCATCTGGCGTATAGTGTGTACATAATATAAACAGTACAAACTTCATTTGCTGAGGTTGTACAACAGATGTATACTGAATATTATTCTCAGTAATCGTTTTGTTTATAAAAATAAAAAAGTAGAAGCCCCCCCTTTCAGACATTGTGCTCTATTTAGAAGATGATGTAAAGGTCATCTGTTTCTGTGGCCTACATTTAATGGTGGCCAGCACAATGACCAACCGCCTTTACTTTTCCCCAACTAATGTCAGGTACCCATTAGAGCTGGGTGGACTCAGGTGCCCAAAGATCCCAAAATTAAAATGATAAAATTCACAGTAATCTGTTCTTTGTTTATATAATGATTTTCAATTAGATACTACAGTGCTTTATAAGTGCACAAGAACAAAGAAACCTAAAAAAATACTTGCTCTCTCAATATGCTAGGATCCTACCACTTACAGTGACCAGTTGGGAAATTGAAAAAGGGGGGGGGGGGGGGGTATCTGAGTGAATTTTACCATATTTGAATTTTAAAAGCATTTATTTAAAAACAAAAGGGGGGGGGGGGGGGGCAAAATGATTCATTACCAATAGTCAATAAACTAATTGTTTGTTTTTTAAATTCATTCTTGTGTTGTCAGGTAAAAGGAATAATTGTGCAAAATTTCAGCTTAATCCGAGATTGGGTGTTGGATCATTAACATGCACAAACTTTTTATCAGACAGACTGAGCTGATATTTGTAAATAAAGTATAGTTTATCAATACTAGCCTAATGGGTACACCTGATATACACAAACAAAATTGCTATTTATGGATTTGTCTCCATTTTATGAGCATCTCCAAAAAGTTGCAAGACAGGGGCCTCATATTACATCATCAAGGTTTTTGGTAAATAGCTAACAGTTTCTAATTTAATGACTGCTGTGACCAGAATACACTAGATAAGGATTACAATACTAACCACATGTGTCCACTTGGTGCCTGCAAAGAAACATGGCTAGAGTACTGGAAGGCTGGCTGTTCTGGTGAAAGTACTGGTTCCTACAAATCAAATGGAACAAAAAAATTTTTTAAAAATTGCCCCCCAAAATGGGAGAGTTATGGTGCATAGATGAAGATAAAAACAAAAGTGATTTTCTTAATTAAAAAAACATCTGAGAGAGTATTTTCTTTGGTAAAATACAGACCCCTGTAAAATGTTTCCCCTTGATAAATAAAAACATTTAGTTAAAGCCTTATCAAATAATATAGTTTTTCAAATTTACACCACTAGTGATATAAAAAATTATTTTTTTTGGCAATGATAGAATTCATACACACTTAACAAGAGGAACAACAAAGAAAACCATGATGTTTTTGATAGAAGCACTACAAAACTGGGGGAAGGGGATCTGGGAGAAGGTTTCCTTGCTGATCTCGGGTATAATGCATATACAACTCTGCTCGAGCTGGAATTCAAAACTCAAGCCCCCTTGATAGGTAGCAAAGTGGTTTTAGCCACTCTGACTATCAAACATCCCATGTAAAATTGTAATTTGTGCGTTCTTACATAGAAAAATAGTGTGGTACAAGTATAGACCTATGGTTTATGAGCTTTGGACGTTTACAACGCAGGAAAACATATAGAAATATAGGCTTATAAATTACAAGTATTTAATAATGATATAATATAAATAACCTTAGAATGTATTTGCCTAACTAAAATATCTAAAAAAAATTTTGTGATGCCTCACTACGTGTCACCTTGTCTCCCCCTCACTAAGTCTCTGGTCAGAACTGCATAGGCTTATAAGTACTAGAGGACTGGTATCCCAGCTTAGCAATTGATAGATATTTTAATATCTATTTAATGGAATTTCTTTTTAGTTAGACAGTAATGGAATTTGTTCTTATGCATTCATAAGCCCTTCAAAATGCATCATTATAATTTAATATAATATGAGCTAAAATACTACGATAAACATTTTCTGCCTATTTATTATTATGTATGTGAATATATATATTTCAGAAGCAAAGGTTTCAAAACGTTAATAGAATTCTGTATAACTAACTTGCACAAGTACATTTTTCTGAAAAGAAAAAGCAATTATCAATAACAGGTGCGCTTATATATGAAATGTCTTGCATGTACCTACCTGCCCAACTACCCCTCTTCCCCGAACTGTTTCTAATGTTCCAGATAAGCTAAATATCCGCCAGTGCCTTTCTCTAAGTTGTACAGTCTCTGTACCCCTGTTCTCCAGCCGGACACAGTAACGCCACTGTCGACACAAGAAAATGCTGCATAAATTTACTAAGGCGTTGATTAAAATATATATATATATTTAAAAAATATAAAAATCTAATCGTCACTGACATAAGAAGCAGCTGGGAACACAAATAGAGTATTAAGATTGACTAAGGTCAAAAGAAAATTGAATAAATACATACTTTTACCATTTCTATGACAATAACAAGTGAAACATACAATGTATTCTCTTTTCTTTATAAAGTGTTGCTAATTATGCAGGATACTTTTACCATTTCTATGACAATAATAAAAAGTGAAACAAAATTTATTCTTTCTTTATAAAGTGTTGCTAATTATTGCACTCTATCCAGAAGAAATGAAGAAACTAATAGTAAATAAAATAAATGAAATGGACAAGCTCTCATCTGAATCACAAGAAAGATGATGCCTATAAAAGCTATCCCAACAAGATCAATGTCTAATCTTTCGATTCAGGACCGAACACAACAGAACGAGACAATATATATTAACTGGAAGCTCAAAATTGGAACCAATGACATCTTGCCATGTGGATTGTCACCAGAGAATGCCGACCATGTCCTTCAAAACTGTTCTCTTTACCATAAGACCCGTACAAGACACTGGCCCCAAAACACCCCGATAGAAATAAAACTATATGGAGAGCTCCCTGATTTGAAAACCACTGAGCAGTTCATCTCATTTATTGGTCTAGTCATCTGAACGCTCCAACATAAAAATGAGAACGAGGAAGAAGAAATGCAGAATAGAAAATGGAACAAATAAAAAAAAAGGAAAGTTTCCCTAGGCAAAGAGAATGTCCAGATAAGTTGACCTGTGACCAAAGTAGGTACTTAGTGTAATCTCATTGTGATAAAAAAAAAAAAAAAAAAAGGAAAAGTGTAAAACTTCCCAGTGGTTAGATTAAATAAAAGTCCTATTTGAACTGACAATTAAACAATTGTTTTTCTTAAACTTTATATGTCTGCATATGAAAAAATTTACATATTTTAATAAGAAGGCTATACTACTACTACTAAGAAGCGCACTAGAGGGTTGACCTTAAGGAACACAGAACTGGAACAAAAAAAAAAAGTCTATAAATAAAAAAAAAGGAAGGAACCTACCCAATAGACATGAGTCTGCTGTGCCTCCTGAGAAATAAATAAAAGAACAAATTATTTTTTGGATGTTAACCTTTCACATTTAAATTAGTTCTTATTTAATTGTACCTCACAAGATGATTAAACAATTTTTAGTGCAAACTTTTCTAAAAAAAAAAATAGACTGGCAGGTTGAGAATTTTTAAGCAGAATTGAGTGGCAGGCTGCAGGGTCAAAAGTCAAGTTTAAATCCTTGCAAAGTCAATCTGCACTTTTAATCGCAAAAATATATTCTTAGTTCTTTAAAAAAAAAATGAATGCACAGCCAGAATTTGAGCCCTGATTATTTGGCCCAGTAGCCAAGGACTTGATCAGATACCAGTTTTAGAATGGAAACAAACAACAATAGTCCAAGAAACGTTAATGTTGTCTTCTTATTTTATAAAATACAGACGTTACTTCAAAAAAGAAGATGATTACATCCTATGTGTGTCTCTGGGTCAATCTAGTCATACACGTTAATCAATGACTTAAGGATTGATTGTCTATAAGACTAAATAAAATAGATATGATTTTCCTTTGAAACCCCTGCCCTTAGTAAAGTTACTACAAAAAAACTATGCACTTGGAAGTTTTCAATGAATATAGAAAGTTTTCAAAGCTGATTTTTTTTTAGACTTGTTTCATACAGAGAATATGGTCAAGTAAAAAGGACAAGGAAGTTATAAAAACCCACTTTTCAACTCATGAAGAATGAAACTGTTACTTACCCTGCAACCCATGTAGAAGGGGATAACTGTCACCCGAATGCCTTCAGTACTCTCTCTGTGTACATCCGACAACTGTAACCAAGGGTGATTCTTCTCCTGCCAGGCATTGAGGGTATCATGGGCCACAAATGGTGGATCTAGAATGATATCATGAAAAAACAAAATGTCTGACTAAAGAACTGCATGAGATGATGGGAACTGGTAACAGTTTCCAACTTAGCAATAAACCTGTTTTTTTTTTGTTTTTTTTTTTTTAAAAAGCTTCTAGCAACTCTGTCTAGTACAAAGTTTGTACACATTATTTCTCCCACACCCAATCTAAGAATAATATGAAATTTTCCACAATTATTTCTTTTACTTGACAACCCAAAAAAATGACCAATTAGTTAATTGGTAGTTAACTATTTTGTTTGGTATCTTGAACAAGGGAAAGAAAATG